TCTCTCTCTCTCTCTCTCTCTCTCTCTCTCTCTCTCTCTCTCTCTCTCTCTCTCGATGAACCTTTCTGAACTCGCCCTACAGTCTCTCAGATCCCGAAACAACATTTTTATGTACTATTTTTTCCGTTTTTCCATTAAATGTTTTCAACTTCAACGAAACATAGGTTTTCTCCCCGAAAATTCTGGTTTTTCATTAAATGTTTACAACTTTAATGAAACATAGTAGTTTATGCTAAAAACAAACTTTTAACGTTATATTTTAATATTATACGTTTATTATATAAAAGTCGGCCCTAAGGCTATGGATGATTCTGTTTCTCGTTTTCGTTATTTCGGAAAATAAGGTAAGTTCAGGAGAGGTCAATTTCCCGTCCACGTCTGCACATGTTTGTATACGTTATGTGAAGAAAATAACGAGATATTCGAAGGCAGTCTCGTGAGAAGAATTCAATATAAATTTCACCTCCCACGAGTGTGCCCAATTTTTTATAATTTTTATTCGGACACGATACGCGGATAAATCAATATAGCCATGCGCAAATAAGCGCATATGCATATACACATTTTGGTTTATGCATATGTACGTGTACACCGTGGGATTACATTGCGCGCGCTTTGTCCTCGTTACGGTAACGATCTTGTGTCACGAGATGATTTTCGCCCGGTATCAATTCAACTTTCGTGCTCGTTAAGAGTGTGAAAAATAGGAGAAAAAACAAGGAAGAATTTTGCCGCGATTGGAATCGCGGCAGCACGCGAGTCGATAAATCGTTGCGCCATTTCGAACAGTCAATCGAGGCAGAAAAGAAAAAGAGAGAAATATAGGGAGAGAGAAGGAGAAAGAAAGAGAGAGAGAGAGGGAGGGAGAGAGGGGGAGAGAGAGAGAGAGAGAGAGAGAGAGAGAAAGAGAGAGAGAATTATCGTTTCGGGAAAGCCGTAATCTGATGGCGCATACTTGCGCTGAACTATTTCTCATTAGAGCAGCCAAGCTAATCACAACTACATACGTATAGATTGACGTCAGAAGAGAGAGAACGGCTTTGAGTTCGCGTAGACTCTCAATGTAAGATGCTCTTATCGCCTTTCAGAGCACATCACGTTTCGGCAAATTCTGAATTGCTCATGATTCCCATGCTCGCATTTAAACATCGCTCAAACTGTCGTTTAAACTGTACTCAATTGTTCTCTCGCATTTTGTGTTGCAGCAAAACTATCTCATGAGGTTCGGCTACTTACCGCAGACTGACATCGAGACGGGCAATCTACGGACGGAGGATCAACTCAGGGACGCCATAAAGAATCTGCAGGTAGAGTAGAGTTTATTAATATTCTGGGATTGCCCTTTTGAGTTTACGGACTTACGATTATTCTGCAACTTATGACGGCCAAATATTTGTCAAACATTGACTAATAAGGAAACCCACACATGTGTCCGCCTCCAATTTTCATGAACTTATAATATGTTGTACTTTAGATCAAAATAACGTTAATATACGTTTTTTTATTGTATGTGCCCTTCCGCAAGTTTAGAGGGTGAAATAAGAAAATCGGTTTTTTTCATTCAAAGGAAATGTAATGAAAACTATAAGAGATAGAAAAAAATACTTTGAATAAAAGTTGAATGGTTTGAAGAGTACTTTACAAAAATAATTTTAATAATAATAATAAGAAGAAGTGATGGGGGAAATATTAACAAAAAATTTTTTTTTTCAAATAATTTCTGTAAAGTATTCTTCAAACCATTCAACTTTTATTCAAAATACTTCTTTCTATCTCTTATAGTTTTCATTATATTTCCTTCGAATGAAAAAAACCGATTTTCTTCAAAGGGGTATTTCACCCCCTAAACTTGTGAAAGGGCACATATAATAAAAAACGTATCTATTATTTTGATCTAAAGTATAACATGTTACAAGTTCATGAAAATCGGAGGCGGACACTTGTGTGGGTTTCCTTATAAGAATCTGTCATTCGGTACTGGACCACAATTGGCAAATTAATTGATTACGTGGTATGGTCTGCAATTCTTGAACGTATAAGTGTGTAACTTGGCTGAAACTTCTTTCACGCGTTTCTTTTCTAAACCACACCGTTTAACACGTTTAAAAGACGTCAATTATAATTTGGTACGCTTAAATAATGTAACTTCCCGAGTCGAAATTTTAACCCCACTTTCGACTTGAACTTTCTCACATCCATGTATGTATTTCAGAGGACCTATTGTGTGACACATACACAAATCCTATTCAAACTGAAATCCTATTCAACGCTTCTAAATGGCAGAGAACGTACAAAATAGCGCTTGTAGGTCCTAAAGAGGACCTCTCAGCTACTAATCGAACCATTATGGCACAGAGAACCAATAAGACGCAAGTACACAAAACTAAAATGTTAATTTTAACTTTATACCTCACAGAAAGTCCACTGTAAACTTTATGTAAAAGTAACTTATTTGTGGTGTGTTACTTATCGATGAATGTTAATTAATTGACACTCATCGATTTTTTCTGACATTCATGTTTGTTATTTTAACTTAGCTCAGTATAAAAATAACATAAACAATAGTAAAGTGACATTTTTTGCGTTTTCTGCCATTTAGAGACGCTAAATAGGACTAAACTTCAGTCTCCAGTTAGTAGGTTGAACCGAATCAAAAGAGGTTGACATTGGCTTCAGAGCATCAAAATAGCTCTAGTCAAAATTTTGGTACTGTGAACCTTGAATTTCACAACGCAGTAGCGAAATGAGCAAAGTAGGTTTAATTCTAATGATACAATTTACCTCTACTTTGATTCTGATGATGTCTGATATTCCTCCACTTTCTTTAACGTCAAATAGATGTTGAATGGAATAGTGAAACTGAAAATAGGACCGAAATTTCGACTCGAGCAGGTTAAATAGAATCAAAACAGATAATGTAGGTTTCAAAGTATCAAAATAAGTGTTAAATGGAGTAGTAAGGCTAAAAGTAAAATGAAAATTTCGACTCGGGTTGAAACGACAAGAAATTTATGAAAGGAAGTTTAGTCGGTATAACACACCTGGATTTGCACGAGTACAGGCAGACGAAAGCGCGGAAGAGCTTGTTGCGACGGATCGAGTGAATCTTTCCGTATTCTTCAAGAGAGAGGAACGTGTACGTCGTCTTGAAAACACGATCGATCTATCAGTTCGCGGCAACCGGAAGCGCCGCGAGCGAATCGGTAGAGATTCGCGCCGGAGGAAATGGGAAAACGGGCCAAACGTCCCGAGGGATCTCGCGTTGAGTGTCGACGTATACATATATCCCTTTCGGCAGACATGCATCTAACTGGCATGCCCGATTTTCATGTAAATTTTCATCGCGCTGGTCTTACCATTTTTCCCTCGCGAAAAGCGTTTCACTCCCGCCCATTGTTCGGGGCGGGCGGTAGGGGGAAGACGTCGAAGGGGTTGAGATCGCTCGAACTAGATGGAACGCATCGGGGAATGCCCCGGACATTGTAATCTTGGGTCCAGCGAGCTTGCTCCCGCTCGCAGAGAAAAATCCCTGATGGTTTTATCGGGATACGATAAACGCGTTTGTCAGATTCCGAACACGTTTCTGGCTCGAGCGCGCTCGATAGCGTTTATTCCGGCTCGCGGGTGGAAAGGCTGCAGGAATAATACGCCCGCTTCTGGCAAAGGCTATTCAAACGGTAACTTACCGCATTCTCGTGACGTTGATGGTCGCAACGAGACACTTTGCAGTCGGCGAATTTTATCAAGAGATATATGTCGCTATAGAAAATTGCATCTCTATAGGACATCCCAAATCGAAATTTTAGCCATACTTTTGACTTAAATTATCCAATGTCTGTCTATACTGAAGAATCAGTACATGTTTAATGTACATGGAGACCGAAGTTCAATCCTATTTAGCGTCCCTAAATGGCAGAAAACGCAGGAAATGTCACTTTACTATTTTTTATGTTATCTTTATGTTGAGCTCAAAGTCAAAATAACAAACATGAATGTAAGAAAAAATCGATGAGTGTCAATTAATTAACATTCATCGATAAGTGACACACCACAAATGAATTACTTTTACACAAAATTTACAGTGGACTTTCTGTGAGGCATGTAAAAAAAAAGTTAAAATTAACGTTTTATTTTTGTGCACTCTTATTGGTTCTCTGTGCCATAACGTTTGATTAATAGCTTCGTAACGAAGTTGACAGAAGAGAAACAAAGCATGGTGGCTTTTGAAATGTGAATCTTTTAAGTAAAACACATTTTTAAATAAGCATCCGTTTCTGTTATCAGAGATTCGGCGGGCTCCGCATAACGGGCGAGATCGACAAAGCGACGCAGAAGCTGATGAAGGCGAGGAGATGCGGATTACCGGATCAGCCGGATCCCAGATTCAGCAAGACGAGGCACAAGCGTTTTACCATTCATGGCCAGCAGTGGTCGCACCGGAATCTCACCTGGAGGTGAGTACATTTCTAAAGTTGCGCTTGCAACACTCCTCATCTTTTGATTTACGTGATTACACTGTAAAAAATCCTGCGTACACAGTATGTAAATAAACCCGAGTCGAAATTTGACCCTATGTTGAACCTTGAATTTTATACCGCAGTAGGAGCTAAGATAGCAAAATAGGTTTAATTCTAATGATATAATTTCTCCTACTTTGATCCTGATGATGTCTGAAATTTCTGTTTTCGCTTTCTTTAGCGTCAAAGTAGGTTGAATAATAGTAGAATCTTACACGGAGAAAAAAGATTTGCTAATATATGGACAATTAAAATTATTAACTACAGGAGCAAATTTTCTTGCTTTCATAGTAAAGTTATTTAGTTGTGATAGCTAAAAGATTTGTTAATATATATATTAGCAAATCTTTTAGTTATCACAACTAAATAATTTTCCTATGAAAGCAAGAAAATTTGCTCCTGCAGTTAATATTTTTAGTTGTCCATATATTAGCAAATCTTTTAGTTATCACAACTAAATAATTTTCCTATGAAAGCAAGAAAATTTGCTCCTGCAGTTAATATTTTTAGTTGTCCATATATTAGCAAATCTTTTAGTTATCACAACTAAATAATTTTCCTATGAAAGCAAGAAAATTTGCTCCTGCAGTTAATATTTTTAGTTGTCCATATATTAGCAAATCTTTTAGTTATCACAACTAAATAATTTTCCTATGAAAGCAAGAAAATTTGCTCCTGCAGTTAATATTTTTAGTTGTCCATATATTAGCAAATCTTTTTTTTCTGTGTAAAAAGCAAAAGTAGGTTCAGTTGCGAACCTCTATTGAAGCTTTGACTCCTACATAGAATATATATATATATTTTTTTATAGAAATATTTAAAAAATTTAATAAATTTAATAATTTTATAAATAAAATTTAAAATAACGAAACAGAAACGTCAAATAGCATACAAAATATACATTTTATTTGTTGCATATGTTTTAGACATCATCAGGATCAAAGTAGGAGTAATTATATCATTAGAATTCAAGGTTCAACGTAGGGTTAAAATTTCTACTCGAAAATGAGTGTCAATATCGTCAAAATAAGTTTTACCTAGGTTGTAGATTATCTATGTAGGCTCAAACTATTTTTAAGAGCGTCAAAGTAGCATCAAAATTTTGACAAAGTAAAGTTAAAGGTTCAAAAGAGAAGTTAATGAGTATCAATATCATCAAAGTAGTTTTTATCTAGACTATAAACCTTCTAAGTAGGCGCAAACTATCCTTAAGAGCGTCAAAGTAGCATCAAAATTTCGACTCGGGAATGTTCCAAAAAATCCATTCTAAATTTTGTGTCGAAAGTAATTCATTCGTATGTTTATTTGTGTGTAATTTACATTATGTATAGACTAGTACATAATATAAATAACACACTAATGAACATATGAACGAGTTATTTTCGACACAAAATTTAGAGTGGACCTTTTGGAACATTTGTTTACGTACTGTGTACGCAAGATTTTTTACAGTGTACAGATATGCAAACGCGTACCGCGCAGGACCCGCTCGACGAGCGTGCCCGGGAAGGTGTCTGCCGGTTCCCAAAGGGATCCTGAGAAAGATCTTGCGAAATGCCGCGGGAACGACGTGGCGCGACGAAGAGCCACCTCGTTTGGTCGAAATCATCGCGGCGCGTAACGATAATAATATCCTTCCGCGTCTTAAGCGCATTGCTCGTCGCGACGATAACTCATCCGCGCCTCGTCGTACCTGTTGGTTCCTCCAAGCAGGATGTTTGGCTCCCTTAATTGCGTGCCTCGCCGCCGCCGCAGTCGCTAAACCGCTCGGAAATGCCATTGACATTGTTGGTCCGCAGCCAGCCACTGGCGAATCCTCCCCCGCGAAGATCGCGCGGATCACGAGAATGACGAAAACACACGAACGCGTCGTGTTCTCCACGTGGAAATTAAGAGCAGTTTGCAGCGCTGGTCGACAAACGACGACATTCGCGCGTTCCTCTTGGCACGCGGCCCCTTTACGCCGGTGAACGCTCTTAACATCGAAAGCTCGCGCTTTTAATTCTTAATGGACAGCGTTCTTTTTCAGCTTTTTCACTCCTCTTTTCCGCATTTGGCGTGAACGTTTTCGCCTCGCGAATAACTTCCTCCGCAAGTCGGCGCAATTTCTTACTTTGTATGCCGGACACTTTAAGTTGCATTTCGAAAAATCTCGTCGCTCCGTCACGTGCGACGTCGCATACGCCGAGAGAAAAATACTTGAAAATTTATTCGTAGGATATAAAGTCTATTTCCGCGAAGTAAAGTTTATTTCTCTAAATTACGTATCGGGTTGCTTGAAAACAATCTCAACGGAAATCTCAACCCTTTCAATCCAGGCGGTCTTTCGGCTGACTTTTACAGTTTTTGAACCCGAACTTTTTCACACACACGTTTCAGGGTAGATTAGTAAAAAACATAACACCCTCGTCGCGCGACAAACTGATTATTTTTTTTTACTCACTCATACAGAAATATTCCTTCTGTACTAAGAATGATAAAAGAATATAAATTTTTTTATTTCTGACTAAGAAAATTACGCAAAAGTATATAATATGATAATAAGACAGAATCACACATACAAACCACATAAAACAAAATATCTATTACTATTTGCATAAATTGCATAAATTTGCATAAATTTGCATAAATTTGCATAAAGTACATTATTTTTATAATATTAATCACTCGTACGTCAAATAAATTTATTTTTTCAACTTTCTACTTAAAAAAATATCTAATTAAAAAAATTTTTTTACTAATTTGTATGGAAAAACGGTGGATAATAAGAATTGTAATTGTATCTTACAAAATTGCTGTTGCGCTTTCCAGATTGGGAGGGATAATTATTGAACAAATTAATATCTTTCTCTGCGATTTTTAATTTTTATCGAACCCGAGAAATTAGTTTGACGTTCGCAATCGAATATGCGTGTAAATATCAGCGGTAAAACAGATCTCTACTGGCGGAAGTGCGCCGGTACCGCAGGAAACATCTAAGGCCGTCACGTTGATACAGAGAATTGCTGCAATATCGGCTCTGTTCCGCTACGTCATGTGGCACCCTCTAGAAAATAATCGATACCCACGCACACAACATTACTGATTCATAATTCGTTGCATTATTATAGAAACTCCTCCATTGCCGTCGTTAATTGTCGTTGTTAATCCGCGAGCTGGCGCAATTTCTTCATATGCCGGATATTTCAAATTGCATTTCGAAAAATCTTATCGTCTCGCTATGCGTGACGTCGTGTACACTGAGAGTACAATGCTTGAAAATTTATTCGCGTAGATAAAGTTTATCTCAGCGAAGACTTTGTGTTCCACAAATAAATTCTCTGAAGTATTTTTTTCCCAGTCTACTAAACCTGAGTCAAAATTTTGACCTTATGTTGAACCTTGAATTCTATACCGCAGTAGAAGTTAAGATAAAAAAGTAGGTTTAATTCTAATGATATAATTTACTCCTACTTTGACCCTGATAATGTCTGAAATTTCCGCTTTCGCTTTCTTTAGCGTCAAAGTAGGTTGTATAATAGTAGGATCTTAGGAAGCAAAGTAGGTTCAGTTGCGAATCTCTATTGAAGCTTTAACTCCTACATAGAATATATGTATTTTATAGAAATATTAAAAAAATTAATAAATAACGAAACAGAAACGTTAAATAGCATACAAAATATATATTTTATTTGTTGCATATATTTCAGGCATCGGCAGGATCAAAGTAGGAGTAAATTATATCATTAAAATTAAACCTACTTTACTATTTTAGTTCCTACTGCAGTGTAGAATTCAAGGTTCAACATAGGGTCAAAATTTCGACTTGGAAATGAGTGTCAATATCGTCAAAATAGATTTCATATAAGTTGTAGATTATCTAAGTAGGCTCAAACTGTTTTTAAGAACGTCAAAGTAGCGTCAAAATTTTGACAAGGTAGAGTTAAAGGTTCAAAAGAGAATTTAATGAGTATCAATATCGTCGAAGTAGGTTTTACCTAGGCTATAAACCGTCTAACTAGGCGCAAACTATCCTTAACCCGGGAATGGGCGCGTATTGGTCATTACTTTTTCTTTTTCTACTTATATCATTTAATCTATTGACATTATCGTATTTTCGCTTTTACGTAAATTTTCTTTGATGTTTTCTCGTATAGCATGGAGAAGTAGACGGCATAGCGCTTATTTCTATATGAAATTTAATACGTTTTTAACAGTCGATCTAAAAGATCATAGCGCGCCTACTAACGTTAGTCTTTTGTCTCTGTCGCGTCAGTTAGTCTTTTATCTCTGTGCCGCCGAATGTCTATTGTTTTTCCGACATCGTAGTTGGACAGTTCTCTCTTTTTTTGTTGAATCAATAAAATTTTCAACAGCACGCGTAATTGGAATATATATCCTTGATTCAATAGCGATATTATTAAAATTAATACTTGAATTATTAATACATAAATAATACATAATGTGATAATTTTAATATTGCTATTAAATCAAAAAGATTTATTCTTTATTTTTAAATTTATCAAATAAAATTTTAAGTTTATTAAATCAATGTTTAAGTTAATCAAAGTAAAACGAGAGAAGCAAGAAATTCTTATTTCGTTTTATTAAACTAAAAGAATATCATTTTTTACTAATGCAATAAAAATAAAATATTATAATATATTCACATATGTATAATAAGTTTAATATGTTTCCTAAACATATTAGATATAGAAATGGTAAAGAGAAGAAAAGAGGGGGAAAGGAAGAAATAGTGACGTCATAAAATTATTTCTTTCAGTTATTATGTTTCTTTTAATAATTGGACTGGTAATTTATCAATTATTATTTAATTATTACACATATATGTGCTTAAATATATTTCGATCGAAATGACCGATACGCGCCCACTAACATTGGTCCCGTTCACGCGCCCACTCTCGGGTTAAGAGCGTCAAAGTACATGCAAAAAAAGA